CCGCGTCCCCCCCCCCCCCCCCCCCCCCCCCCGGCCCCAGAATAGAGCATGAAAGAGGCGGGATACAGTTAGTGCCGGCGTTCAAGAGTTCAAGAAACATCAATCTGGGGTCGAGGCTCAATGACTTACTTCGTCACGATCGTCGAGCATAGGTCACCATGCAGGGATTAGTGTAGGATTCACGGCTGAGGTGTGTTTCAGAGTCGATTTTTCATACATACCGCCGAAATGAGCTTTGTTTCTTAATCGCGGGCGCTTAACTGTATAAAACCATGTCTTATGAGACGGAAATACATGGTATCCGAAAATACGCGATCATGTGGCCGGAAGCGAGACGCGTAAACTAACACAAAATACCCAAGAGTCGTGTTTCTATAATTGTTCATCAAACACAAGTAATCAGAGAGATGTGTATCTCGAGATATTGGGTGTTGTTCGAGAACATCGCTACTTCATCGCTACTTCATCGCTACTTCATCGCTAACTTAGGATGTTCTACATAGCGTTAGGAGGAAATCAGAGAGGTAAGTCTCTCGAGTTCATGGTTCTTCCAGAACGACATTACTCCATCTCGATACTTGTGGTGTTCTACTATTGAGCCTTGTAAAACACAACAATGAAGAAAGGGCACAGCAACAACAGCAGCATGATCTTCACAACAGGGGGGGAATCCTCGGCAAGGTATGTAGACTGACGGAGGTGATCTGATTAATTTCGGTGCGGACAAAGCTAGGTACTGCTGAACATTGACTGCAAGCTAGTTCGACACGGAGCGCTTAGGATGGTGAACTGACGGACCACCACATGCTTTCTCCCCCATTACCCCTGCCACTCCTTTTCGCAAAGAATGAACCCAAACAGCACGGGTTAATCTCGCCCTGCCGTTTCGCCGCGCTTCGTGCAAATAAACCTGTCCCATTTCACTGCAGATTACACTGTGTCCCATTCTCCAACACCCCTCTCCCCCCTTTTCCTATCACAGTGGCCACCTGGTCCTGTTCGTAGGGCATGATCTGGCTGGAGACCATCATCTGGTACTGCAAGTTGTCGGCTTTAGCAAGATCTCCCACGAACGTCGACACCACCTGGGACGCAAGCAATAGCAGCCGAAAACAGCGGACAAAACGCATGTGTGCATTTTTTTTATCATCACTAGCATCAACCGCGTTAACCGGCTGACCGATGAAAAGACGTCCGTGTCAACGGGAAAAATCAAGATCCCTGGAAAGGGGGCCAAAATCCGAAAAACGTACGTGTGTGTGTATATTTTCCGGCATGTCAATGTCCATAGGTTGATTGGTTACGAGGGGTTCCATACTCCGGCCCTGACCTTTTGTTGAGAATCTTGCATCATCCCAAGTGGAACTGTTTGGTATTTTGCTGGAGCAGGGGCCGAGTGTGTGTGTTGTTCTGTCTTTATATC